AAGCACACAGATGCCCTGAAGACAGCAACCTCCAAGAGTGCATTCAAGATCCACCCTGCATTCAAGCCAGCCTTGGGTTTTCAGTTTCATTGAGAAATCTCTGTGTAAGCTGGATACAGTGGCAGGTGCTTGCAATTTTAACACCAGGGCAGCCGAGGCAGGAGGCTCTTAAGAGCTCGGCCGGCTCAAACTACGCAGGGAGACCATGTCTCCAAAAACTAGAAACGGAAAACAAATGGCAAGCATCTTCAGGTTAGCCCACTGACTTACCGCCACCTATCAGTGCGGACCTTGCCAGAGGTGGGCTTCAGTTCCTGTGGGGTCGTGTCTCTCGCCATGTTATATTTCCAATGCTGAAATACTCCCTGCTTAACCATGGGTTTTACTCATCTCTCTTATTATCTGTTTTATTTCAAAATATCTATCTAATTTTATGTGTGTGCATGTGTGTCTAAGTGTACGTCTGTAGGACACATGTGCAAAGCCTGTGAAAGCCAGAAGAGGGGTTGAGTTCCCTGGAACTGGAGTTGCAGATGGTGGTGACCCACCATGTGGGTGCTGGGAACTGAACCTGGGTCCCCTGCAAGAACAGTAAATGCTCTTAATTACTGACCGAGGCAGGAGAATCAAGAACTTGAGGCCAAGTGGCTTCAAGGCTGGCCTGGACTACATAATGATCATGTGTCTCACAAAGCCTAAACAAAGGAAAGCCAGGTAGTTCAACCAGTAAGGGTGCTTGCTATCAGGCCTAACAGCCTGAGTCTGATCCCCATAATCCACATGGTGGAAGGAGAGAATTGAGTCCTCCAAGTTGTCCTCTGACCTCTAATCATCATACACACCATGGCGTTCACACATCTCCCTCATCCTCCTCACAAAACAAATGAATGCATAAATGTAAAGATTAAAGACAAAAACTCAACAGGTAACACTTCCTCTAAGACAGGAAGAGGGGAATAGTATTTTTTTTTTCTTTTAACTGTTCATCCTAATGTACTCAAGATTTTCAATCCTCTGCCCACGTTGCTTCCTTTACAAACCTAGTTAAGCATGCAGCGCATCAACATTATTCAGCTAAAATCTAGTGTAAGGAGCCAGGAGAGCCAGGGGCTGACATGGTGGGTGCTCCCTTCCATTAGAATGCAAAGCACAAAGGTCATGAGGAGGGAGGTTGAGGTCAGCAAGCTAGAGCTAGGTGGGCGTCGTCACTAGTATCATCCCTACCCCACACACACACCCTGTGCATGCCCATGCGCATGTGCATCTGTGCATGCCCATGCGTATGTGCATGCATGCGATGAGAAGGCTTTCATGGATCTTCAGCAACGAAGTTTCATTTTACATTGTTAATTTTTATTTTCTTTTTTGAGACAGGATCTTACTATGTAGCCCAACCTAGCCTTTCTATGTAGACCAGGCTAGCCTTTCTATGTAGACCAGGCTAGCCTCAAACTTGTGGCATCCCTCCTGTCTCTAGAGTGCTGGGATCATAGGTGTGAACCATAATACCTGGGTTAGTTTAAGTTTTTTAGTGTTAATGTATATTCCATTTTTGAAAGATTGTTTAAATTTATTGTTTTAGACTGGTCTTGTGTATCCTAATGGGTCTTAAACTCACTACGTAGCTAAGAACAACCTTGAATTATTATTATTATTATTATTATTATTATTATTATTATTATTTTGGTCTTTCAGGGTAGGGTTTCTCTGTGTAGCTCTGGCTGTCCTGGAACTCACACTGTAGACCAGGCTGGCCTTGAACTCACAGAGATCCTTCTGCCTCTGCTGATATTAAAGGCGTGTACCACCACCACCTCTTGGATTTTTTTATTCTTCTGCTTTTACCTCCCAAGTGCAGTTATTAAGGTCTGCAGCACCCTGCCACATTCTACATTCTACACCGTTGACCAAATTATCTTTACTGCCTTGTTGCTTTGCCTAGCAGTGTATTACTCCCTGACTTAATTTACTCAAGGAAACATTGTACAAAACAGTAATTCTGGGGCTGGGAAAAAACAGTAATTCTGGGGCTGGGAAGAATGCTCAACCATTAAGAACACTGCGCTCTTTTAGAGGACCTGAGTTTGGTTCCCAGCACCCATGTCAGATGGCTCACTAGGGCCTGGAACTTCCCCAGGAAATGGAACACCCTCTCTGGCTCCCAACACCCTCACACAGACACACATGCAGGCAAGACACCAATGCACATAAAATACAAAATAAGTAAATAATTTAAAAGATAAAAACACCTATGTTTCTTTTTCATAGCTCTTCCCCCAACTGTGGTCAAACCCCCCCCCCCCTTTCCCTTACAGTGTGCAAAATGAGTCATTCACTAGCTAGAGCTAGACTCAGCTCACTTCCTGCCCCCTCCTCCCAGGGTTTTTGAGTCAGTCCCAAACAGCTGGACTCAGCTTGCCTGACAGGGCAGATCAGCTTTCTATTTGGTGTGGGCAAAGGGAGGTGGCAGCTCTGGGTGGCTACAGGGGACATTCTGTCCATCTGTCCCATGTGGAGTCAACAAGCTGGTAAGAGTCCAGTCAAAATCCCCAGTCAGTGGCCTGAGCAGACCCACAAGTAGTTTCTGTTCCTGGTGAAGGGTCTGGAACCCGACAGCGATGACATCCTGCACCATCTGCTCTCAAAAACATCTTCCCCCAAATAGTCAATTCATCCAACCTGGACTTGCGGGCCCCTCAGGTGGGGGCTCCCAGGAAAGATGCCAATCCTGCAGCAACTGAATTCTCTTCTCTAACCCCAGGAGGCCAGAGCACTGCAGACTTGGCCATTAGGACCATGTGTTGGTATGGAAACCATGTGTTGCCGGCAGTGACCCTCCCAGCAGTAGAGTATACCCCTCTGAGTTTCTTCCCCTGCCTCTCTGCTCACTCTTGTTACCCAATGTTGCTGCCCTTTCCCTTCCTTCCTCCACTGTCTAGAAGCCTCCAGCCCTCCAGCCAGTAAGTAAAAAGTGTGGGTGGCCATGTCATGCATTAAAAGGGCTCAGTGTTTACGGAGAGACAGTGTGACATCATCAGCAGATTCCCGGTCCCTGTGAGCCTTCATCCATTTACATCCTAGACTGTTTACAAAGCTGCTCATCCCATTTAAGCTGTTTGACTTTTCTGTCTCGTTTTCTTTTTTTCTCCTCATGAGAAGAAGCGAGCAAAACAATTTTTACTATCTCTCATGAGAATTTAAACTTGGGAGAGGGCTCTAGGAATGATCCAGAAGCTACAAAAAGCATGGATGAGATAGAGGGACATGTTGAGAGACAGGACATAATGACGACACCACCACTCACCCCCTCCCCCATCTAAAGGAGAAAAGGTTTGGCCAAGGCAGGATTCTGCCAGATTGGTGAACTCAAGAGACCCTAAAAGAAAAGAGGGAAAAAGACAAGCATGGCTGGCAGAGAGGGTCCCAAAGACACCATTTTCTCTCCTGAAGTGTTATATGGGGGGTTTGGAAGGATGGAGGGAGGGACAGACAGACAGACACTGTGTAGTTCCACTCCACATACAGGGCTATGGGTATTTCCCCCCACACCTGTTCTGGCTTTGCAGGGGGAGGTACCCCCTGGCTCACAGCGGGACCCTCCGGTTCCAGGATACTTTCTCATTGAGGATAGAAAACGAGCTGTGAGTACAAAGGGTCTTCTTTCTGCTGTATTATGCATCATGACTTCCACACATTGATTGTCCATGAATAGATATTTAAGAAACTTTGGCCAGGAGGAGTTGACCCTGAGGGCCAGGTGAGGTCCTAGGAGAAAGAAAAGCTCAGCGAACAGACTCCGACCTCTTCTTCTAAAGGAAGACAGTAGGAAGAGAGAGGACTATCTCGGTTGCCAGGTCTGTCCTGGGCCTTTCACAAACTTACTCTTCCTTCACCCCAGTCCTGCTAGATCAGGGTCCATTAGTTATCTTATTTGATAGATGAAAACACGAAAGGTTAGAGCTGTTGTCCAGGTAGGAGAGACTGCGATCAGGGAAGAGAGAAACCATGGAGGGAAGCCTGTCCCCCCTCAGCTTGGACTCCAGGGGGCAGCCCATTCTCCGGAGTGGAATAATCTGCAGAGATGCCACAGGCTGAGGACTAATTGCACCCGGCCATGGGCTGGTCCTCCAAATGAGTGCTGGTCCACCTCCAGGCGCTTGGAGAGAACCCTAGACACCCCAAACCCACAGCACGGGTCTCTACTTCCCACCACGGTAAAGTAGTGAGTGATGCATCAAGATTTAGCTCTCCCTACTTTATCCTGGCTGGCTGTTTACTAACGTCTACCCTAAGTTCGAAGCAGGTAAACGTGGGAGGGTTGATTGTCAAAACTGTCCCCAGCCTCCTGTGAACCCAGCAGAGAGACATCTGCTGATGACGGAGGAACCCAACACTACCTTTTGGCACAAGCTGGAGGGGGGGGGGGTAATTTCCCCCGCGGTTTGACAAGCACACAGCGGGTATTTGACACCCACCGTGCCATGATGTCACTGCGCTCTGGCCAAGCAGGCCCAACCCCACCCCCACCCCCAGCAGTGACCTCTCCTCTAGCAGACACTTCTCGGCTCTCCCCCACCTCCCCTCTTCCTACGTCCCGGGTGTGAGGCCGGGGAACGGGATACGGGGAGGAGGGCGTTTTAAGCTGTTGAGTAAGCAGCCCCCTCCCGGGGCCGCGCCGGCGGAGGGCGTTGGAGCCCCGCTGCGGCCCCGCCCCCGGGGCCGTGTCCGGGCGGGTGCGCGGCGCAGAGGGGAGGGCCAGCGGGCCAGGAATGCGCGGCGGGCGGGCGCAGGAGGCGAGCGGCGGAACATGTAAGGGCACATCCCGCCAGCAGCCGCCCAGCGCGCACACGGAGCCCGGCGGAGCGATCGTGCGGGCGGAGAGGCGCAGGGTACCCGGCGGAGGCTCGGGGCGGGCGGAGCGGTGCGCAGGGGCCCCGGCCCGGTGAGAGCGAGCAGCATCCTCCCGCGCCTCCCGGGCGCCGCCGTCCGCGAGGCGTCCCCGGCCGCCGGAGGAAGGACAGCAAGGCCAGCCAAGCCCAGGGCGCGAGAAGCCGGCGCTGGAGAGCCGGGACCGCCGCGGGCTCCTGCGCCGTGGGGACCTCGGGGACGCCCATGACGGCGGCGGCGGCGGCGACCGTGCTGAAGGAGGGCGTGCTGGAGAAGCGCAGCGGCGGGCTGCTGCAGCTGTGGAAGCGGAAGCGCTGCGTGCTCACCGAGCGCGGGCTGCAGCTCTTCGAGGCCAAGGGCACGGGCGGCCGGCCTAAAGAGCTCAGCTTCGCCCGCATCAAAGCCGTGGAGTGCGTGGAGAGCACCGGGCGCCACATCTACTTCACGCTGGTGACCGAGGGCGGGGGCGAGATCGACTTCCGCTGCCCCCTCGAAGACCCCGGCTGGAACGCTCAGATCACCCTGGGCCTGGTCAAGTTCAAGAATCAACAGGCCATCCAGACTGTGCGGGCCCGGCAGAGTCTTGGGACGGGGACCCTGGTGTCCTAAACCACGAGGCATACCATTTTATCGACATGCTCTCCCCACCTCCGTGCCCACAGGACATGTCAGGTAAGCCCCAGGGTACTGAACCATCTATCTTGTCCTCTATAGGAAATCGGGGGTTTTGTTTTCCACCCCAGAGCCCTAGGGAAAGTTGCCGAGCCGACAGGGTAGGATTCCAAGACAGTGTGTTTGGGAAGCCTGGGCCTCTGGCCAAGTGAGCAGGGTTGGCCTTTCCCTAGGGTGTGAGGCCGGAGGGCTCCTTAATGCGACCCGGGAAGCTCGGGTGGGATGGGCCTTTTCAGAATCTGGTTGAACACTGAAGACTTGTGGGCCTGTGAGCCACCCAACATCCTATGTTGGTGCCCTGCCCCTACACTATCTCTTCCAGAATAAATGCATGTCTGAGAATTTAAGTTTTGAACTGACATGACAACTCACCATCTTGTAGTTGTCGAAGGAGCTGTAAGAGCTTGGGCACAAAACTATGGCGTCCCAGATCCCCACGTGGGACCTCAGAGGAGGGCTGGGTTGGAGCCAACCGCTCAACAGCTCATTCTTGTTTGTGGATTCGGGGCCCCAGGGCTGAGCTATTGGGAGGGTAAGGGAGCAAGGGATGTGTGAGGTGGGCTGTGGCCTGGCCATCGGGGCCAGGGATGATGGGCCTGACTGTGTGCCTACCCATGAGTGCCTTGCTGGCCGGGGTCTGCTGGGCCAGAGGAGGCAAAGCTTTTAGCGCGGTGGATTATTTGCCATGGCTTAACCCTCCTTGAGCAGCAAGACAGAAGGCTGAAGAGTTGGTTTGTGGGTAGAAATGACTCGAGGGAGGGACCAGGAATAGAACCTCTTACCCAGATACCACTCCCTCCCCCATGGGAACCTGAGCTGGGTCAAGGAGGGGTTTATATAACCCTGCCTTTCACTTCTCCAGTGGGAGCTTTTGTCCCTCTGGACCCAACTGCACCTCGCACAGTGCCCCATTCACCTCCTCTCCTGTCTTCTGCTTCCTTGTTCCAGAATGCCGAGTTCAGGTGAAGCTGGGGGGGGGTTCCCCTAATACTGCAGCCCCTTTGGCATGCCTGTTTACTGCCCCTCCCCCACACATTGTAGTGAAGCCGGGTAAAAAGTAAACCCATTGGGCTAAGGATGGGTGGGTGGGTCCACCTTGAACCCTTAGGACTCAGAGTAGGGCTAGAGGAAGCAATGGCCAGTGCGTTACCAGCCCTCTGTGCCTCATCTGTGGATTCAGTGAATCCCTGGTCACAAATAGTTGGGTGGGGGATGCTATCCAAACGTTCACAGACCTTTTTTTTTTCTTGTTAATGTCTCCCAAACAATAGAGTGTAATAACTATTTATATAACATCACATTGTGTTAGGTATTAAAAGCAACTTCAAGGATATGGAAGGTATGCATGGGTTATATGCAAAAGCCACACCCTGTCCCATAGAAAGAAGTTCCCAGAGTTCAGTTAGCATCCGCGGCCCGTCCTGAAACCTATTTCCCATGGGTAACAGGAGAGGCTACATTATCTTCCTTTGTCCTGGTGTGGAAAGGTCAGGAAAGGCCTGGTGTGAGGCACCCAGTTCCCAGGAAATCAACTGTTGCCATGTCATAACCACTGCTTTTTCTCTCCCAGCCTCTCTGTCCACTCTGATTGGCTGGGGCCTGAATACGCGTGATGCAGCAGAAGCTAACAGCAGTCGGAAGAAGCATATCATGGAAGGAGCCAACCAGCCGGGGGTGGAGAGCAGAATCCAATGAGGGGCTGAGGATGAAGATTCAGCTCCTGGACACTGAGACTGTTAAACCTCCCAGCCACAGGCCTGGCCTCGGGTGCCATGATGGAGCACCTGGGGCTTGCCTGGCATCAAGGCCCCTCCCACTGATCCTGACCTTGGTCCTGGCTTCTGCAGACTACTGTTTGGGCCCTAGCCTTGAGACTTGCCCAGAGGAAAGCAGCTCCTCATGGTGTGCTAAGCCAAGGCCTCAGAACTCAGGAGGACAGCCTGGGATCCAGAAGATGGACAGCTGCTGGACTTAGCCTGCAGGCGGGGATCTGCTGGGCATGAGGCCTGTGTCTGGGGGTCTCTTGCTGCTTAGGTCCTTTTGGGACCCCCCCCATCCACACCCTCTCTTGCACACTTCCTCCTTTACCTCTGTGGTCCTCCCCTCACTTTGGTGATGGGCCTGGAGGTGGTGGGGGTGGGGTAAGGATTTGGCCATTACCATTTCATGCCTATTCCAGAATGAAGATGCCCAGTGTGTGGGCGGTAACCGCATTGTCCGTTGAGTGAAATTCTTTCAACCACAGACACCTAGAGCTTGGAGCACCCCCTTCTTTCCCAACTTATAGGCCCTCTGAAATACACTACTTGAGGGGTGCAGGCACTGTACCCTAGTAGACATGGCGTCATGGGCCTTAGGGAGGAAGGGTCTTACTGTGACTGAAGAATGTCACAGTCCTATAGATGCTGATTCTGTAGGAGGTTGCTTTGCCTGTGCTAACACGGGAAGTTGCTCTGATTGCTGGGCAGGCTTCTCTCCTGTTACTTGTACACGCTAATAGAGGAAGTCTTCCTTAGTAGCTGGCTTTAGGGGATCATTCCTTCACCGGAGGAAGCAGAATGATCGTGGCCTTGAATCAGGCTGACCCCTCTGACCCCCTCCCAGTATAACAAGAGGAGCCTGCTTCAGAGTCTCTGGGAGGGACGATGGGGCCAAGGGAACTCCTTAATAATTTGAAATCTCTTTAATAACCTCCTCGTTTTTCTAATGTTTCACTCTTCCAGATTTCTCTCTCTCTCTTTTTGCTTTGGTTTTCCGAGGCACAGTTTCTCAGTGTAGCCCTAGCTGTTCTGGAACTTCTCTTGTTTCCTAATCAAAATTTTCTTTTTTCCTGGCCATGTCCCTCAGCCCTTAGAGGTACCTCCTATGTAGGATGAGAGCTACATCTTACAGTTGAGTATGAGTGTGGTAGTTACAAAGCAACTGTCCATTTGCTATCTATCTCATTAGTCTATGCACCCTACAGATAGCTTCATCCCACCAGGTCAAAAACATCATCTTCAGGGCCAACCTAGATCGATGCTGTATAGGCAAGGTCCAAGCCAGGGTGCTGACATCAATTGATGATGTCTTCTGTGGGTGAGGAGTCAGCAGTTTCATGCGTCAGGAAAGGAGAAGAGGCTTGCCATTCCTGCCTTGATGTAGCTTTAATAGCAAAGGGTTAGCTTCCAAATGCTTATGAAACAGCATGTCTCCAGACTATTCCAATCAAGCCCAGGAATCGCTGGGGGTGGAGATGTGGGCTTGAAGAAATGAGGCATCAAGCATTCAGAGATGGAGGAAGAAAGGTTTCTGTGTGGATGGCTTTGGGATCAAGGTGCGATCATTCATCAAACAATGCCCGCTGGGACAGGTACTCTGCTTTCCAGTGGACGTGGAGGGACAAAAAGATGACCCAGTCTCCGCCCTAGGAGGTCCGAGTTTGGTGGGAGACAAACCAATAGCAGCTGGTGTCAGAAGAGCTGGCCGCCTCGAAGCACCAGGCAGTATTTCCTTGGTGCTTAGTGTAGACCCTGCAGAGCTGAGAGGGATCATTGTGCTGCAAAGGGCAGCAGGGGCAGCTCTGAGAGTCAAGGGCAGAGGGCAGGTGCTTGGGGTGGAGGCAGGCTTTAGACACTCAGCTTTGGTTCCGAGTGTGCTTTGTTCTTGCTGGAAGCCAGCTTCGTTGTGTCTTTTTGCTAGACGACTCGCAGACCCTCTAAAGTGCACCGTTGGAGACCCTCTTGTGGCCTTGGCTCCTGGCACCTGTGTGTGGGCAGAGACTGTAACAACAGAATGGATAGTTACAATGTTCTGGGAGCCCTGGGTTCTCAAGAACCCTCACTGTAGAGAGGTCTGGCACTCGGAAGAGGTGCTATTCAAAAGACAGCTATTCGCCCTTCAGAAGACAGTGACCTTTTAGGGGAGTTTAGGTCTCTGGCAGGGAAGGGTTTGCTCTGCTTTCTGAGTTCAAGGGTGCCCTGTCAGGAAGGAGCAAAAGCCTCCACCCTTGGAATGCCTGCTGGACTGCTGAGTAGGGGGAAAACCCCTTTGGTGACAGAGACACCTCTCACAGTGCCAGCAGACTCTCAGGAGAGAGAGGACTGCTCAGCTGGACCCGAGGACACTGCAAGGCCAGGGAGGGGCTGTTGCCACCAACTCTTCCCCCTGCTCTGGCAGCTGGGGCCTCACCCCGCCTGATCCATGAGTCATCAATGGGAAAATGAGACAGGGCAAGTCTCAGCCGAACAACTGGAGTCCGACGAGGTGGGGTGGGAAGGCAGAGGGGAGAAGGGATGGGCTCGTTCTGGTCCGGGAGGGAGAGCTGGGTTGGGAGTTGAAGCTTTGGCAAGAGCAAGCCTGTTCCAGAATGGGGAAGCTGGGAGGTGAGAGAGAGGCCAGAGCCTCAACAGCAGAAGAAAGAGAGGATGGGTCCGCAGGCCGTGAGATGCTGCCCACTGGAAATCTGGAGCCAATGATAAGGCAACAAGGCAGCTTTCCCACCAGGGCCAGGATCCAAGGACCCTAGCAAGGATGCCACCCGGCTGGATGCCAGGCTGCCCCGAGGCTGTGCAGAAAGCCCTGGCGTGTGCTCCTTCAATCTGCTCCTGTTTGCCCACCACAGTCCACCAGAGGGGCCTACAGAAAACGCAATTGGTTCGCCCCCTGCAATGGGGGAGGACCCCTTCCTGATAGCGCCCTCTCTTTACACTTTTTAGTTTGCACATCCAAGTTCCCACAGGTAACTGTCCCATTCCAGTACCAGTGAAGGTCACCTCACGCCATAACGTCATTTCCTCCAGCTCCTCCCACACATCTGGTGCCATGGCTCCGAGCTTTCATGCTCTGAGATGTCTCCCCACGACTGCCCTGCCTGCAGGCTCGCCTGAGTAACCACTCTCCGTGCTGTGTGGCCATGCCTTCTTCATTAGTCACACTGCATGCAATTGCTGGTTCATACGTCTGCCTGTGCCACTCGACTGGTTAGTTCTTGGATGTGTCATGTGTGTATTCCTGGTGTCCCAGATTACCTGGCACCAGGTAGACTCAATGGTAATAATGGCAAGTAGCGCACACGTTTACTCTTTATTGTCCAAGAGCTGCAGCTATCTACGGTGCTAACTCTCCCAACAGCGCAGTGCTTGATGGGAGAGGCACTTGTCTTACGTTAAGAAACCAAGACCCCCGCCCCCTCCCCCCACCCCGGACAAGCAATGTGGCTATCCAGAGTTGCACTGTCGTTCATTAAGTGCTGGAGTCAACTTAGTCGTGGTGAGAATCAAGGCAGGTGCTGTTAGCCAATGCCAGGCAGATTAATTCTGTTCTCGTGAATGCACACAAGAACGACGTAAAGCCACCACACAAGAGTGATTTAAGCCACACTTTGGCTGAGAGCGGGGGACTCAGAGGTGAAGGGACTCTCTCCCGTGTTAAGCTCGGTGGAGTAGGGCTCTTCAAAGGGTAGAGAACTGTCTGTGAGCTGGTGCTGGGCTGGGGGTGTCCATGCAGAAGGTGACCGGGGCCCGGTGGTGAAACAAGGGCAGAACCAAGCTGGGGAGGTAGTGCTCCATATTGTAGCACTTGGGAGGCTAAGGCGTGATGATCAGGCTTGAGGCCAGGCTGGGCCACACAGAGGCCTCAGCTCCTACTCTACTCTAAAACAAAACAAAACCATCAAGGGTGGGGTCTAGCAGTCGGAAAAGACCCAGTTACCTGGGCCATCCATAGTCTAAAGAATGGAGGGGCCTTAGGATAGATAGGAAGGGACAAGAGCTCTGGCGGACCCAAGGAGACTCCCAGCTCCTAATATCGTTCCTAAGCTGCTCTAAGATGTTTTTGGTCTCAGGACCTAAACTCCGGGGTTACCCCAGCTCACAGAGGCCAAGATTCAGCAGCTACATCTCCTGTGTGGCACCAGCTTGGGGCCTCAAAACAACATGCATAACATTCCTGGTTTCTCCGTCGTTTGCCCTGACCAGCCTACATTCTGAGAGACTCCTCAATCCTGGACAAGGTGGCACAGCTGATCAGTGACCCACTGCCTGAGATAGAAGCCACCATCACCCGTCCTCTTGATGTGACCAGACAGCTCTGGGGAATCCAAGCCCACAGGCAACAAGGCTTTGGCCCGGAAGCATCATCTCCTTTGGCTCAGGCTGGCAATATTTCTTACCTTCCCGGACCAAGGGCAGCAAACCTCTAGCCCCAGGGAAAAAGAGCCTGCCAGAGTTTCACCAGGGTTCTCTTACCAGCAGGGCCCCTCTGCTAAGTTAGTCAGTTCAACTCAGCCTCAGTGATATGTTAGCTCAACTGCAGAGGAAGCTACTGGTCTGACCAGATATTGGTCTCCAGGAGGCCCCAAGGGCATCGAGACCGAGAATGTATCCAGGGAAAAGCAGGCTGGAGCAGGGGGTGTTCGCTGAGGACTCTGAGGACTGGGTGAGGTAAGACGAGAGATACAAACAGGTTTTCAAAGATCCTGGGAATGACAGCTGAGTGCCGGGCAGAAGGGGCTGGGGTACCCAGAGTGCCCCCAGAACTGCGCTGTTTATAGGTGGTGAGGCCATCTCTCTCTCTCTCTCTCTCTCTCTCTCTCTCTCTCTCTCTCTCTCTCTCTCTCTCTCATACACACACACACACACACACACACCCCACACACACACCACCTGCAATTCCAGCTACTGCAGGAGGCTGAGACGGGGTGTGTGTGTGTGTGTGTGTGTGTGTGTGTGTGTGTGAGTGTGTATGACAAATCCAAGGCCAACCTGAGCATCTAGTCTTAGAAGGAAAGAGAGCTGATGGTATGGGTTTTGGGGGTAGAGATTGCTTAGCCTGTGCAAGGCTCTGGGTTCGATTTCCAGAACTAGAAAAACAAAACAAGTCTCAACAAACCAGAATGAGCTGTGTTAACTGAAGGGAAATGACGACGTGCATAATATGCCCAAGAAAACATTACCACCTTCACGCTTTCATCCTGAGCACTGTCCATGGACTTCCATCGCCCCGCTAATTCCTAGGCAGACAGCTAACACGCAGCCATGAAATAATTCGCCCTTGTGTAGTATGCACACTTACAATTTTGCTGTGTGTGCTGCACTGCACGAATGCCTCCAGATACTTCATTCTTCCTCCCCTCCTGTTCCGCGGTGCTAGGGATCAAGTTTGGGGCACTGTGCATGGAAGGCAAATAACCTACCGCAGAGCTTAGTCTCCCCTTTATTTATTTGTTTGT